TTCAGTTTTTCGTATGACCATAGACTTACAGTCAATGGAATAATATTTTTTATGAAAAATTTAAATTTTGAATTTCAAAACAGGGAGTGTGTATGGAGCGAAACTATTCTCTACTCTCCTTATAATTTAGAATTACTGTAGATCTTCAGTGTCCCTTCTAATCTGTGTACGGTTCTTTATCTTCCATTCACTATGAACCATGTTATGTTTAGAGGAATATTCCTTCAACGATAATTGTTGATTTATCAGATATGATAGTTCACGATCCTAAACTTGAATATGCAAGGTCAATTGAACACGTGTTAGTTCAAATGAAAAACTAGTTTAACGTTTTATTTGCTGATGAAGATAAATAAGTTTTATATCAGAAATGTAAACTACGAGTTAATTCTATGAAATATTATGCGAAAAACCAGTTTTTGCAGAACATCGTGAAATGAGACGTTATTTTAAAAGTTTGATATCTCGGTAAGTATGAGCTTTAAAGCTCTAAATTATTTTTTATAACCACGTTTTCAGGCCTAAAATAGAATGAAATAATTACAAGTATATGTTAATTATTTTCAGGACGCTTTTCTCGACTCTGTGATGCACCTTCTCTTAAATCGTCATCTCCGAATCGTCAGTTCCGAGCTGAGAAACATACTATACTTGGCTGAATCGCGTAACGAGTTTCATTCATTACATCTTTGTTTCTCTGGTAAAAATTTTCCATTGAATCCGACCATTTCTAATCAATGGGCATGATCGGCGAACTTTTTAGGAGATAAAAATGCTCGTTTCTAGTTTTAAAGCCTTCAGACGTCAAAAACTTATTTGATAATCCATGGCCAACGTTCAAAATTACCAATAACAAGACATTCTAAGAATATCTGACTAACTAGAAATTAAATGCAGTTAGGGATGAAAAAATTATGTTAATCTGCTCGGCTCTTTTTATTTTGAAATCGAAAATTCACGTAACCAGCACTTAACTCTCAAAAAAAAGATGTAATCTGTATTGCCGGCAGAAGAGTAAATATCCATCTAGAAAGAATATAAAAACATAGCCACGTACAGTAGACAAAAAATAAATTCTTATAGCAAAAGCATCATGAAAAAACTCATTATAGCTCGAGATAAATAGATAGATCAGACAAAACAAGATTACTATAAAAAAGAGGAGTTTGCAGATTACGAAAATTGCTGTTTCATACTGCACGCACGTTGATAAAAATATTAACAATACACAAACAACAGTAACAAAATTACTTAGCAAGAATTGATAAAAAGCAACAATATTTTTGAAAATTTAACATTTAGTCCAGTATGGTATTGTACAGGTTCACCGATCGTGTGTAATTAATATTAGCTAACTTCATATCTCCATCCTTTTTATATGCATCACCTTTTTCTGTACAATATAATGCTAAATCTAGCACAAGTTTATTGAATAAACGTTCTTCAAAACTAAATACACCCCATACTTTCGGAAATAAATTTGACCATATTGCTAACATATCAAAATCATCTTCCGTACAATAAATATATATTGAATGTATTTGTAATAAACTATGAATGATTGTAATAAAATCTTTAGAATCTTCATCAGATGTAATAAGAAATATATGTTTATCAGAGTGCATATGTATGTATTGTAAACATGTTTGTTTCTCATTGAAGAATAATAGTTGTACGCCAAGTTTTTGTTGTATTCTGATCATAATCTCTTGTCGCCTCTCATCCTTATCATACCAGATGACAAAAAGTGAACTCGACGCATCTTATTAAGAGAGAAAGAAATCACACAAATGAACTAGATCACGTAGTTTTGAACTGTTTATAACTCAGATATAGCACATCAACTCTGTCGAGTATTAAATACTCCCTTAATGTCACCCGTCTCTCTTTCTACTAGTTAACCCTGATCCGACTATCTATAATATGCTCAAATTCTAACGATGTTATTTGAATACTACCCAAACATAACGGTTAGATTTTACCGCTTCACTTTATATTCCACTGAATAGGGCGTACTATCAATATAAACTTTTGCACCCACTCATCATTTATCTGGCAGAGCACCAAGATATATCTTCAAAACACTTGTTATCGTCCAGGTGGACCGATCAGGGTTCATTTATGAACAATTCTCGAGAAAGTCGAATCTAAATGCTTCAATTCGGTTTCTTTTCTTCAACTTCCTGTATTTTTTTTCATCCATCATTTTGTGAAATAAAGAAAAAGTTCATATCATAGAAAAAACTAAAAATTCCTAACATACATAATTTCTTTTAGAATGGATATAAATCTATTTTGAGACAGTTTTTGCCACAGAATGGATATGTTCTCTATAGAACATAACATGAGTTCGCAATTCGTCTCTTAAAAGCTTACCGTTATCTGCTGTTCGTTCAATCAATATAATATTATTGTTATCATGAGAGTCCGTACGATGATATACTGGATTTGCTGATAATGATGACAGTAATGTTGTTGCAATCTGACTGCTTCTTTGAGTACTCTCTGTAGACAGTTTATTAGTTTTTTCGTCTGGACGAACTTTAGAATCACTGCTAACTTTTTTCTCCTCGTCGCATAATTGTCGGTTACCAGAAGTAGTAACCTTTAACCGTAACTTTTTAAACACTCTGAAAATCTGGTGCCTGTAGTAACGATCCGGTTTTAGACTCCGAAGACTAAAATTAATATTTTTGTTACTAAATGATTGAACAGTTGTATAAATCATTTTTTTTTATAAAAGCTTAAATCTAAAAGAATAACAAACTTTTGAATTCTGATCATAACTACATTTACTTCCTTCAGGCCGTTCGTTTTTCTGTTAATAAATTACTGAACATTTATCTTGGACAAATTGAGAAATGTTCACGGAAATAACATACCTTTGATCCAGGTTGAAAACATTTCGATAAAAAACATGCAAAAGATCTTGGTTACAAAAACTACTATTCCAAAATACAAGAGTAGTGGTAATTTTTTGAAGAACTTTTGATAGAAAAAAGCTAGAGAGCACAATTCAAAAGAGGAAACTTGAAGACATGTTTTCTATACCAAAGTTGTTTTTAGAAGGGTTTTCTGAAACAGTTTCTCTTTGAAAAACTAGGCCGTCTGTAAGAATTTTCCAATAGGATTGTATTGCTTTTTTTTCATAAGCTGGTGGCCCGGAGTGTTCTCTTCAAACTGGGTGCGAAGTGCTACTCTGAAAAGCAATACAATCCTATTGGAAAATTCTTACAGGCGGCCTAGTTTTTCAAAGATCTCGTGGAGAAACTGTTTCAGAAAACCCTTCTAAAAACAACTTTGGTATAGAAAACATGTCTTCAAGTCTCCTTTTTTGAATTGTGCTCTGCAGCTCTTTTCTACCAAAAGTTCTTCAAAAAATTACCACTACTCTTGTATTTTGGAAACGATAGGAAATCTATTTAGGCCAAAAGCATGAAAAAGATCGTGGGAAACTATTTTCTATCCGTATTTCTGACTCCCTGTTATGCTTAGGTAACTCATATCGTTCTGAAGCTCAAAATCCGAATCCTAATAGCTTCTTTGACAACCTAGAACTGTTTCTCTTTTCTAATCTTCCTCAAAATTACGATAATCTCATTCTAATTGGAGATTATAATGCAGATCCGACTGATAAAAGTGTATTTGATGCTTTATGTGCTTTTTCTGACACTTTCTCTCTTTCGAAAACACAACCAACCGCAACCACATCTCTCGGTTCGTGTTTAGATTACATTCTGTACTCTTCTATTTACAACCAACCTTCTTTATCCGACTATCCGTCTATCGGTGAGTCAATCCACTTTTCTTTAGTTGTAACTTTTGATTCCTTCTATGTCAAACAAACTTCTACTTCTTTTAAAGTCATTTGGGATTTCAGTGAGTGCGATATTGAGAAACTAAACCGTGCTCTATCTGACCTTTCTAGTGATCTCTATTCTTCTGGTGATCCTGATGTAGCCGTTACTCTTTGGGAATCACATGTTAATTTGTGCTTATCCAAGTTTGCGAAATGTAAACAAGTTCCTCTGTCTTCATCCTTTAAAGTTGCTATATCAAAAGAAACTAAAAAGTTAATGAGAAAACGAAATCTTGCGTATAAACAACATCGAAAAAATCCTACTGATGAAGAAAGTCTTTTAAAATTTAAACTTTCGCGAAATAATGTTCTTTCGTCTTTACGAAATGACAAGAAAACAACGTTCTCTTCTATTTGTCGCTCATTTTCAGATCCTACCAAGTTCTGGTCGTCTTTAAATAGATACAGAGCATCTAAACAAAATACTTGTCAATTCATTTCTGACAGTAATGGGATTTCTTCTTCTCCTTCTGAGACCTGTCAAAAATTTAATAAATTTTTTGCCTCATGTTACACTAATAACAACGGGCCACTGCTGTCTCCACGTACTATTTATTCTGGTCAAACTCTCAATTCTATCGTAATAACTGAAGAATTAGTCTCAGAGGCTATTAGTAAGTTACGTGATACTTCTAGTGTAGGCACTGACGACATTCCTATTCATTTCTTCAAACTTTGTACGTCATCCATCTCTAAACAGTTGGCTTATCTTTTTCAACTCTCACTTGATAAAGAAACCTTTCCTGATAACTGGAAAACTTCTTTAGTTACTCCCATCCATAAAAAAGGACCTGTTGGTTCTGTAGATAACTATAGACCAATTTCTCTTCTGAATACCGTGAGTAAAGTTTTTGAGAAAGTCATCCACAAAGAACTTCTTGATCATCTTTTGACTAACCAACTTTTGTCTGCAAATCAGTTCGGTTTCAGACCGAATGCTTCGACCACCGATGCTTTACTATATGTCAGGAACAGGTTATTTGACAGTGCCTCTACTAACAAAATCAGTATTGGTGCGAGTGTCGACCTAGCTAAGACTTTCGATCGCGTACCGCACCTCGTTTTACTACAAAAACTGCAATCCGTTGGTGTAGACGATAAACTTCTACACTGGTTTACATCTTATCTAAAGGGTCGTTCACAATATGTAAAAATAGGAACGGCTCTTTCTAACGTAGCATATATTCTTTCTGGTGTGCCTCAAGGATCTATTTTGGGTCCCCTGCTTTTCCTCATTTTTATTAACGATCTCTCTCTTCCTACTTCATCATCAGTACTGTATAGTTTGTTTGCCGATGACCTGTATTTGATCTGTACATTCGAGAAACAGGATAGTTTGAATACGGTCAAGCAATTTGTTCAAACTGAAATAGATCGTGTTACTAACTGGTGTGATTGCAATTTTATGTCTTTGAGTTCTGACAAGTGTCATTGGACATATTTCTCTTTGTCTGCTAACCCTCCTACTTCTCTCAGATTTAGCATCAATGGAGAATCTCTCAG